CGCCATCGGGGCTGTAGGCTCCTGAAGTGAAATATGAGGTGCTGCTCCTCCAGTTTGTGGGTGGTGTCGTTGTGGTACTGGAGGAGGCCCAGGATGTTCATGTCACCCAGGGAGTGGGAGGGGGAGTTAAAATGGTTGGCGACTGGAAGATGTTGTCGTTTGTCACGTACAGAGTGCAGACACTCTACAAAATGGTCTCCGAGTCTATGCTTGGTCTCACTGATGTAGAGGAAGCCACATCGGGAGCACCGGATACAGTAGACCAAGTTGACGGATGTACAGGTGAACCCCTATCTGATATGGAAGGTTTGTTTTGTGCTTTGAATAGAAGTGAGGGAGGAGGTGTAGCACTTCCTGCGGTTGCACGGAAAGGTGTTGGGGGTGGTGGAGTTTGTGGGGAGTGTGGAGTGGACAAGGGAGTCGCGGAGAGAGCAGTCCCTACAAAAGGAAGATAGGGGTGGGGAGGGAAATATCCATATCAGACAGGGTTCCACCTGCTTATCCATCAACTTGGTCTACTGTATCTGCTGCTCCTGATGTGGCCTCCTTTACATCGGTGAGACCAAGCATAGACTCTTAGACGGTTTTGTAGAGCATCTGTGCTCTGTATGTGACAACTTACAATACCTTGCGGTCGCCAACCATTTTAACTTCCACTCCTATTCCCCTGGGTGACATGTTCATCCTGGGCCTCCTCCAGTACCACAATGACACCACCTGCGAACTGGAGGAGCAGCACCTCATATTCCGCTTCGGGAGCCTACAGCCCGATGGCCTAAACACGGAATTCACCAGTTTTAAAATCTCCCTACCCCCGGCCTCATCCCAAGTCCAAGCTTTCCTCTCTTCCCCGCCTCCTTGACCTGACACAACCTGTTCATCTTCTCTCCCACCTATCCGCCCCTCTCATCCCACTGACCAATCCCCACCACTCCCTACCTGCACTCACCTATCACCATCCCACCTACCTTCCCCAGCCTCACCCCTGCTCTCTATTTATTTCTGAGCTCCCTTCCCCTCCCCATTTCTGAAGAAAGGTCCTGACCCAAAACGTCAACTTTCCTGCTCCTCTGATGCTGCCTGGCCCACTGTGTTCATCAGTTCTATACAGAGATAACAATCTCAGATTCCAGCACCTGCAGTTTCTGCTATCTCTACTTATGAAGCGAGTCAGCAGCAGACATAGAAGCCACAAAAACTCAAGCTCACCACTGCAAAAGCAATACTTTATTCAGATGCTGCTATGGAGTGTAGGTGAAAGACTGTGGGCTCTAGAAAAATCATATATGAACTTAAGAAATAAGAGCGCAAGTAGGCCATTTTGGCCCTCAAGCGTGCCCCAGGTCTTAACTCTTGCTACATGACAGCTCATCTCAACCTTCAACTCTCCAATATTTCAAAAATCTATTTATCTCCCCACTGAATATTTTCAGTCATCTAGCCTCTGCAATTCTCTGGAATAGGGAATTCCAGACATTCTCAGACGCAGCTAATGTTCTGGGGACCCATGTTCAAATCACACCATGGCAAATGGCAGAATTTGAATTCAATAAAAAATATCTGGAATTAAGAATTTACTGATGGCCATGAAAATATTGTCGATTGTCAGAAAATAAATTTGTTTCACTAACGTCCTTCAGGGATGGAAATCTGCCATCCTCACCTAATCTGGCCTATATATAGCTCCAGAGCCACAACAATGTGGGTGACTCTCAGCTGCTCTCTGAAATGGCCAAGTCAGCCACTCAGTTGTATCAATTACAATAAAGTCTCAACAAAGAAATGAAACCAAGCAGACCACCTGGTATCAACCTAGACACTGGAAAAGACAACAGCAGAAACAGCTCTATCTATCCTGCAAAGTTCACCTTACCAGCTTTTTTTTTTGGCGCAAAATTGGGAAAGTTCTCTAACAGACTGGTTAAACAACAGTCTGACACACCATCACCATCCTTGAATATGTCCTGTCCTACCAGCACAGTGGTATACATCCAGTAGGGTGGTGACCTGGGAATCTTCATCATTGACTCTGAAACACATGAAGTCCCATGGTTTCAGGTTAAATATGAACAAGGAAACCTTCTGCTGATTACTACGTACCATCCTCCCTTGGTTGATGAATCAGTACTCTTCCATGTTTAATACCACTTAAAGGAAGCACTGAGGGTGGTAAAGACAAAGAATGTACTCTTGGTGGTGGATTTCAATGTCCACCACAGAATGCAGCTCGGCAGCAGCACTCCTGATGAGCCATATGGGTTTAAAGGACATAGCTGCTAGACTGGTTCTGCAGCAGGTGGTGAGGGAACCAACAAGTGGGCCAAAAAAAGACTTGACCTCATCCTTAGCAATCTGCTGGCTGCAGATGCATCTATCCAGAAAAGTATTGGTAAGAGTGACCACCACACAGTGCCATTGGGAATAACCTCAATCATACTGTCTGGCACTATCACTTTACTAAATGGACAGACTTCAAACAGTTCCAGCAACTCAAGACTCAGCATCCATACAGCATTGTGTGCCATCAATAGCAGTAGAACTGTACTCCAGCACAACCTGCAACCTCATGGCCCGGTATATCCCCCACTCAACCACTATCATTAAGCCAGGAGATCAACCCTGGCTCAATGGCGAGTGCAGGAGGGCATGCCAGGAAATGCATCAGGGATGGTGGCAACCTTACGCTAAAATGAGGAGTCAACCTGGTGAAGCTACCAAACAGGATTACTTGCATGCCAAACAGCATAAACAGTAAGTGATAGACAGAACTAAGTGATCCCATAATGAACAGATCTAATTTAAGCTCTGCAGTCCTGTCACATCCAGTTGGGAACAGGGATCATAATTAAATAACTCACTGGAGGAGGAGGACACTCAACATATATCCCCATCCCCAATGATGGAAAAGCCCAACATATCAGTGTAAAAGATAATGCCGAAGTATTCGCAGCAATCTTCAGCAAGAAGTGCCGAGTGAATGATCCTTTGCCTCCTCCGGTGGTCCTCAGCATCAGAAATGCCAGTCTTCAGCCAATTGTATTCACTCAGTGTGATATCAGATAATAGGTTTAAGGCACTGGATACTGCAAAGACTACGGACCTAGTCAGCATTCTGACAAAAGTACTGAAGACTTGTGCTCCTGAACTTGCTGTTACCCTGGCTAAACCCTTCCAGTACAGCTACAACACTGGCATCTACCCGACAAGTAGAAAATTGCCCAGGTATGTCCTATATACAAAGAGCAGGAAAAATCCAACCCGGCCAATTACCGCCCCATCAGTCTACTCTCGAACATCAGTAAGATGATGGAAGGTGTCATCAACAGTGCTATCAAGCAACACCTGCTCAGCAATATCCTGCTCAGTGATGCCCAGTTTGGGTTCTGCCAGGGCCACTCAGCTCCTGACCTCATTACAACCTTGGTTCAAACATGGACAAAAGGGCTGAATTCCAGAGGTGAGGTGAGAGTAACAGCCCTTGACATCAAGACTGCCTTCAAGGTGTGGCTCTAAGGAGCCCACACTAAGCTGGAATCAATGGGTATCGGAGGCTGCTTGGTGTCATACCTGGCACCTAGGATGATAGTAGTGGTTGTTTCAGCTCCAGGATATCTCTACAGGAGTTCCTCAGGATAGTGTCCTCGGTCCAACCTTCTTCAACTGCTTCATCAATGACCTTCCCTCCATCATAAGGTCAGAAGTGGGGATGTTCGCCAATCTTGACCAATGTTCAGCGCTAAACGTGACTCCTCAGAAACTAAAGCAATCCATGTTCAAATGCAACAAGATCTGGATAATATCCAGGCTCTGGCTGACAAGCGACAAGTAACATTTGGACCACACAAATGACCATCTCAAATAACAGACAATCTAACCACCACCCCTTGACATTCAATAGTGTTACCATCACTGACTTCCCCAAAATCCTTGCAGTTACCATTGACCACAAACTCAACTGAACAGATCAGATTCTAGGAATACTGTGGCAACTAACTCATCTCCTGACTCACCAAAGCCTGTCCACCATCTACAAGGCACAAATCATGAGTGTGTTGGAATACTCCCCACTTGCCTGAATGGGAACAGCTCCAACAACTTGACAGTATTCAGGCCAAGGCAGCCCGCGAGATTGGCAACACATCCACAAGAATCATACTCCACCACCATATACTAGCTACAAGCTAGTGTACTAGTATACAAGTATACAAGCTTGTATACTAGTTACAAGATGCACTGCAGAAATTCACCAAAGGACCTTAGACAACACCTTCCAAATCCATAGCCACTTCCATTTAGTAAGACGAGGGCAGCAGATACATGGGAACAGCATTATCTGCAAGTTCCCCTCCAAGCCACTCACCATCTGACTTGGAAATATATTACAGTTCCTTCTGTGTTGCTGTGTCAAAATCCTGGAATTACCTCCCTTAAGGGCATTGTGGGTCCACCTACAGCATGTGAACTGCAGCAGTTCAAGAAGGCAGCTCACCCCCACCTTCTCAAGGCAACTAAGGATAGGCAATAAATGCTGGCCCAGCCAGTGATGCCCAACTTCCATGGGTGAATACAAGAAAAGTCAAGGGCAATCTCCAATACCAGACCTGCTTCAGGCAGTCAGAGTCAGGATCGTTTCTTCAAAAAGGATGAGGAGCCAAACGACCCGTTTGACTTTTTCAGCCCTATTGTGGGTTGTTTTCCTCCTCCCTTGGGAGGGGGCAGGTATTACAAGAGTTGAAAGTGGATGGCACAGCTGTCTGTGTTGGTGTAGATGGGGAGGTGTGCCAAGCGAGTGATCAGGCAGTGTAGACAGCATACAGAGTTAGTGGTGTCAGGGTTTGGGGTGTGCACGAGCAAGTGGGAAAGATATTACAGACAATAGTGGGAGTGCTAGAGCATGAGACTTGTTGGGAATTCAGTACAGCAGCAGAGATAGAATGGGTGTGAGATATCAGAGAAAAGATGGTGATATTTAAGCTAACAAAGTGAAGAAGCTGATATACCTCTCTGTAAAATGCTGGCATTCCTCCAGAAGGCTGAGACTGCACTGACTGTTATGCCAATTTAGATCAGGCTGGTGTGGTCTGGTATAATCACTGAACACTGGAGAAACTCTAGTAGAGTCTGTGGAGAGAGAAAGAGAGTTAACGTTTTGAGTCTGGTATGACTCTTTGGAAACGAAAGATGTTCGAAAATAGTTTTTTAATTACTTTTTGACAAGACGCAGTGGAGAAGCAAGGGGATGGATGGCAAGAGGCCCAATGCAAAAGACAGTGTTAATTATGGAGAAAAAAAACAATTATGTTAAAAGGGTGTAAATTAAGGTGTGAAAGTGAGAGAATGAGTCATTGCTAAGTGCAAAGCAAACAAGATAAAAACATGACAAGGCTGTCAGGGAAGAGACTTTAAGAAAGCTGGACGGCACATAAAGTGGTCAGTTTCTAAAGTTATTAACTCAATGTTGAGACTTCAAGGCTGTAAACAACTGAAGAGATGTTGTTCCTCAAGCTTGTGTTGTGCTTCATTGGAACGTTGAACAGGCCCAGGACAGAAATGTTTGCATGACAGATAGATAGTTTACTGAAATGGGAAGCAACCACGAGGTCAGGGTCATTCCTATGGGCAGAGCAGAGGTGTTCCGCAGAATGGTCACCCAATCTGCTTTTGGTCTTATCAATTTAAAGGAGAGTGCAATGTGAGCAGTAAATGCAGTACACTAGATTGAATTAAGCATATGTGAAACACTGCTTCACTTTGAAGGTGTGTCTGAGGCCTTGAACAGCGAGGAGGGAGAAGGTGAATGGGCGAGTGTTACATCTTCTGTGATTATATGGGAATATGCTATAGGTGGAAGCGAGGAGTGTTTGGAGTGATGGAGGAGTGGACCAGGGTTTGGTATGATCTGCTGTTGTGGCCTCCACTGTTGCTCCTGGGGGGAAGAGGCAGTCCCTCCTGTGCACCATCCCATCCAGCAGGACCTCCAGGACACTGCCCAGAAAGCAGGGTGCCAATTTACTCCTGATTGCCATGTCCAAGGCAAATGTCAGGAACTGTGCAGGGCAGCTCCGAACCTACATTTGTCTGGTTGCACACAATGCTCTTAAAAATGGAACAGCTGCAAGGGATGCCAGTGTATTCTGGGATATCTGCTGAGCAATTAGTTCTTCTGGAAAAGGTCTGAGGTAAGATGGGACAGAAATTAGATGCAAGACATACCATAGGGTGGGCTGGTAATTAGTGAGTCAATTTTGATAGGATAGCACAAGAAATTTGCTAAGCGTCCTAGCATGAAAACCTACAAAAAAATTCAACACTAGTCTGACTAAGATTCAGTCTCTCATTTGAGATTCCCGTCAGTGAAAATATCTTCTCAACATCTACCCTGTCAAGTTCTTTTACATTTCAATAAGATCACTCCTCATCAGAACCTAGAACATAGAACAGTACAGGAAAAGGAACAGGACCTTTGCCCACCATATCTGTGCTCACTATGCTGCCATTCTAAACTAATCCCATCCCATTAAAACCAACACAGTAACTCTCTCACTAGCTACCTCTCCAAAATCCTAGGATGATGTCCATCAGAACCCAGGTGTTATGGACCAGACCAAACCCCTCAAAACATATCAAGGAGATAGTCTAGACCCTAATTTTTATCTTATTTAGAGACAAGTATAAGGCGCTATGTTCCAGATTTGATTCAATTGGTCAAACTACTAGGCTTTAAGCAAAACACACTTTATTCTTACATCATAGTTAAAATACAAACAAAAAATAAGAATTGCCGTAACTTGGCTCTAGTGAAATAGCAGCATCCCATCAGCACACCCATGGCAAAGGCAAATTCAGCAAAACAGATTTCCCTCACTTGCTATCTCCTCTGGTTCAGGAGAAAGAACACCAACAGAATGAATGTAGCAGCAGAGACAGAACTCAATTTGTTTTTGCAGCAGAGAGAGGTATATCTAGCAGCTTCAACTCCAAAAACTCCAACTTCAACAACTGAAAGTAAAACTAAAACCCTGGATCTGTGACACTGACTCCACCCACTCATGCTTCTTTTATCTAATAAAAAAAGCCTAAAGCTATTTACTCTGCTTTCCATGGAGTAGACACCTCGACAGCAGGTTTATAATGCCCCATAGTGATTGTAATGAAGTCAGTCAGCTGGACCTCATAGAATAAGTTCCCTAATTGAACTGGATTAATAGCCCCAATCAGGGAGCACTGGCTGACAGATACACTTTGATAGCTGACTTAGAAAAGGCAGTACTAGAGTCAAGGACTGTTCACATGTACATAAAGGGTGACTTGCTGACACGATACTGGCCTCTACGGAATTGTTTCAGTGGCAACGAGATTAAAGTACGATCCTGAAAAAAACCTGCTCATAACAGTCATCTCTGAGTTGGAGTAAGCATTTCTCACATCATGCCTTTCTTTGGGAAGCTTGATTAGTCCAACCTGCCGATGACTGGGTCCAGTACGTGGAAAGAATGTGTTACTTTTTCTGGGCAAACAACATTATGGCAGATGAAAAGCAACGAGTAATTCTCCTGACAGCTTGTAGAGCCACAGCTTTTTCTGTTATGAGGGTCCCACGTTCCCTGAGGCATTAGATACTAAAATCTTTCAAGAATTGACGGATATAGTTACGGATATTACGCAAGCCTCCTCTAATTACAAGATGCTATTATTTTTACTCAGCAATTCAAGAACCAGGGGAGTCCATATCAGGACTTTTGACTAGGTTAAGAAGACTGGCAGAAGCCTGCGACTTTGGTTTAACACTTACTGATATGCTAACAGGCTGTTTAGTATGTGTGACTAATGATGTAACTATGCAAAAAGCCTACTAGCTGAAGCCCAACAGGACTTCAAACAGGCACTATAACTGACTTTATCATTGGAAAAAGCAGCAAATGGAGCATATGAGTTGCAGAATATTCCAATGGAAGTGGGCACCCTCACCAGGCCGATTGAGCTTGGGGGATACCACTTGAGTGAAGGCAATTGCATAGTCACACTCAGGATATGTGATTTCACTTTTCCTATTCATGAGGTCTACCCAAATTGCCTCGCTGCATGAGTCCTCTGATGTATCCTCCCTCAGCACAACTGAGAGATACTTCCTTACCAGCAAAACAACTTCCCCACTCCTTTTATATCCTCTATCACACCTGAAACACCTAAATCCTGAGATATTCAGTTGCCAGTCCTGTTCCTCTTTCAGCCAAATCTCTGTAATTACAATAATGTCATAGTTCCAAGAACTAACCAAAGCTCTAAGTTCATCTACCTTGCCTATTATAATTATTATAATTCTTGCATTGAAACATGCATTTCAGACCACCACCTCTACTCTTGTCAGGGGCGTTTCACTGCCTGTTCTTGTTCTTAGTCATATTTGCCTTGGATTCTACATCTCCCCTAAGTTTCTGCATCTACTGCCCTATTCCTCTGGCTCTCATCCCCCTGCCACACTAGTTTAAACCCTCTCCAACCACTCTATCAAGTAGCCCCCCCAAGGACATCAGTCCTGGTTCTGCCCAGGTGTAACCTGTCCAGTTTGTACAGGTCCCACCTCCCCAGAACCGGTCCTAATGCCCCACAAATCTGAAACCTCCCCCTCATACCATCTTTTCAGCCATGCGTTCGTCCTATACATCCTGCTGCTTCTACTCTGACTAACTTGTGGCACTGGTAGTAAGCCTGAGCTAACCACCTTTGAGGTATTACATTTCAACTTTTTTCCAAATTCTCTATATTCTGTTTTTAGGACCTCGTCCCATTTTTCTTTAAAATCTGTGTCATTAGTACCAATGTGTGTCATGACCACGGGCTGTTTGCCCTTCCCTCCAGAATGTCCTGCAACCGTTCCAAGACATCCAGGACCCTTAGCACCAGGGAGGCAACACATCATCCTGGACTCTCTTTTGCGGCCACAGAAACACCTATCTGTTCCCCTTGCAATTGAATCCCCAATAACTACAGCATTTCTATGCCTATTTCCCCCTGCAGCAGAACCAACCATGGTGCCATGAATTTGGCTGCTGCTGTTATCCCCTGAGAGGCCATTCCCCTCAACAGTATCCTAAACAGTATATCTGTTTTGCAGGGGAATAGCCACAGGAAATTCCTACACTGCCTGTTTAGCTCTCCTGCTCCGCCTGGTGGTCACCCAATCCCTTCCTGCCTGTGAAGTTTGAGTCTGCAGTGTAACCACCTCTCTATACATGCTATACACCTCTCTATACCACAACACTCTCTGCCTTGTGAATGCTCCATAAGGGGTAGATGTCTCTCCTACTCCGAAACTCAGGCTTCCAGGAGCTGCAGCTGGAGAGCTTTCTTGCACACATACAGGTCCCGGGCAGTGGAAACACGCCCTGTTTCCCACATCGACCAAGAGGAGCAGACTATGATTTGGAGCTCTCCTGCCATGTCTTACCCCTTTCATTTAATTAATCCTTACTATTTCCCTAGCAATTTCTGCTTTTTGTTTCAGATTTCTAGCATCCATAGCTCTTCATTTTATTTTACATCTATTAATTCATTCATCACCTCTTTTAAAACCCTAATATGAAATCCATCTGAACCCAGAGACTTGTTCAAAGCTCCATCATCTGGCTCAATGTCACTTCTCATGATTAAAATTTCTAATTTCCTCTCTCCTTTCCACCTCCTGATTTACAGCTACAACTGCACTATTTTTGTGTCTTCTACAGTGAAGACTGAAGCAAAATGCTTCTTCATTTATCCACTGTTTCTTTATTCTGATAACTTCCTATTCTCACTCTATACAAGGCTAGCACTTACTTGTTCTTTTCCTTTCTAAAATACCTGCAAAACTCTTGCTATCGATTTTTACATTCCTAGCTAGGTTCCTTTCTATCTTGAATTTCTTCCTCCTGATGATTCTTTTAGTCATTCCTACCATTCTTCATATTCTGACCAATTATCTGATCTGCCACTGATCTTTGAGCAGTTACATGCTGTTTTTCCCTCAAGTTTGATGTTTCCACTAACTTCTTAAGTTAATCATGGATGGTGATTCGCCCTTTAAAAGATCTTTGTTATCGTAGGAATGTATTTATTTTGAAACATTCCTTTAGATGTCTGCC